CCGTGTGACTTCTTCTTCTTCCCAAAGATGAAAATTCAGCTAAAGGTAAGGAGATTTGAGACGATAGAAGAGCTTCAGGCAGAATCGCAGATGGTGCTTGACAGGCTGACAAAGAAAGCTTTCCAGGGATGCTTCCAGGCTTGGCAGCGGCGCTGGGATCGTTGTGTTCACTCCCAGGGGAACTACTTCGAGGGTGATGGATGAATTTAATACCTGAGATAAGTGTACGGGTTTTTATAGGCGCAGTCTAGAAACTTTCTGATCGCACCTCGTATATGTGTTCGTATCCAGCTCCCAAGTTCTGGCACATCTGTAAGCGGGTTTTATCCTCAGTGCCTCATGGGACCTGCGTGTTCAGTGCCTAACGCCCTTTTTATTTCAGTTTTATGTGTCAAATTTACTACACTTACCCTACCATCAAGGCTGGTTTCATGTTGTCGATTTGAAAATAGAATATTTTTATATATGCTTTAGTATTGAAATATATCAGAATTTTTATGTGGTTGGACCTACTGGGAAAATTCGTTTAATGTACAAGAGAGAGAGACGCAGTTCGTGATGGGTACGTCTTCGTATCACCACGTTGATCCTCATTTTGGACATGCGCATTCAGAATAATAGTACATTCGCTTGTATTACTAAGAGCGTACCCTCGTCACTGCTGTGATGGTCGTACGTGCGAGAGAATCCCGATTTTGTGTATTAATTTTGATTCCGATTTGAATTTATTGTCGTCTGATGGTTCGGGCCCGTTCTTATCCCACGTGACCTCATCTGTTAACGCCGTATCTGACTTGGAGTTTGCCATTTCTCCTGCTGCAGTTTACAATAAACGTGACTCCTGACATTCTCATTTTCTGTTGCCCTATACGTTCCTGATAAGACGTCTAAGACCGATATCTGCCGCCCTTTTTATTTATATTTCGTTCTATTGGTTGGATTCCTTCTTGCACGGTGTTGTAAACACGCAAGTTTTGTAATGTGAAGATCATTCAAGCAGAGCGACTGATAGGGAAGTTATGGGACGTCTTGTATGACGACTTTATAAATTTCTATCCAAGTATTTAATCAAGATTCCGTTCATTCCACTAAAATATTCTTGATGTGGGAGATTAAACCTTCTTTCCCGTATCGGGGTTTCGATTCCCGACAGGGGCAGACTCTGGGGCTCACCCAGCATCCTGTCCAGTGGATACCGGGATCTTTTCTCGGGGGTAAACTCACTGCCGAGGTTGAGAATGAATAGGAGCTTTTATGCACATAAAAACTGTTCACTGCACACCTTTAAGAAAATGACAGTCCTGTGTCTTTTTTTTTATATCCTCTGTCAGTCATTTGATTGAATGATACGTCATTTAAAGGCCCCGCAAAATTTTAATCGTAAAACCTAAACGTATATAGGCGCTACAGACTGTTGCTTCGATGTGCGACTTGTATTTTTCTGGATTTCTTTCTCCTTTATGGCGAAGGCAGTCTTCTATCAGATAAGACTATTGCAGTAATTGCCATGCATAATGACTGATAACACTATACTAGAAGGTTTGCTACGAACACGTTCGTGGTTGCTTGCGTTGTTCATGCCTGCTCTCTATGCTACTTAAGTACTTATGAGATATACTTAAATAATTTGCGTGTTCATTGTGCGTGTTACGGTTTGTTATGATTTGTTTTAAACTTGTGTACCCCAGAACAGTTTTGACCCATTAAAGTCCTGTATGTTCAGATCAGTCAATCTTTGTAATGGCGAAGTGTGGTGTTTTCTTTGCGGTACGACTTGAATTATTATATATTTTGATTGATCTTTCCGCAGGAAATAAGGTATTAATATGCACGTAAGCAGGGCGGCTTTCCTAGAAATGAGAATCCAGGTCCGAAGTGGAAGTTGTACTGTCTTCTGACTCTCAGCTAACAAACAGAATACACCTGAACGGTTGAACACATGGTGGTAGGATTTTAGTTAAAGAATGTAATTCTTTAGACGGTGAAAAATTACATTTACGAAAATTGTAATCGTGCAATTTAAAATAAATGTGTGTTTTCGTTATAGAATACATTACTCACTGGCAGAGAATATGGCAAATATGACGTACTCACACATAATAAACAGTTAACTAAACATTTCACACATTCACAATGAATAAGACTGCATGTGATTCATTAGCGGCTAACCGCAAATACATTATGTATTTATCATCAGTCGTTTGTTACAGCAACAGAAATTAACTCCGTGGAGCAAAGTCCTGGAGAATCATGATCGTTCACAAGAGCGAACTGAATCTAGTCAACGTCATCACACCATTTTTTTTTTTAATTTCCATTTTAATATTATCTTCCTGTCTTAACCAAAGTATGTCACACCTCTCAGGGTTTCCAGTTGAAATGCTACACGAGTTTCTCAAATACCTCTTTCGCGTTGCTTGATCGACAAGTCCATCCTCCTTGAATTCATTACCTTGGTAGTATTTGGTGAAGAATTTAATTAATAAGTTCCGTCCCACATAATTTTCTCATGCCGATTCCAAGAGACAAAAGGTTCAATTCCTCTAAAACAGGAGTTATCATTAGTTTTATGTGTTTTTAGTCTTTACGATTCTATGTAAGAGACGGGAAAATAAAACATTCTAAATTTAATGCTATTGAGCATTCCCTGAATTTAACATCTCCCGACTCCTACGTAAGTGTTTGTTGGTTTTAACGTTTAATTTAAACTTTGTTACTATATCACATGGCCGGCGACGATTATCAGGCGAGGAACATCACTTTGCTATGCGACCTCATCTTCGTGTTTATTATTATTAGCCAGTGACTTTAGCTCTCTTAAGTGGCTGGATAATCACTTGCCTTTGTCGAAATGTGAAGCAGTATAGAAATTAATGTCTACAACACGTAATAGAAACGCTCCTGGAAGGCGTAAAGGAAACACTTGTTTCAGATCGTGTATACGTGAGAAATTGAAGGAGGGCGTCTCGTCGCTACTGTCATATTTATTTAAACTTTTGGCCGCATAGAGTAAAGAGACCGGATTAAAATAAATTCATATGTGCGGTTTTCTCGTAGGCATTTGGTTTATTTATTTATTTAGTGTTCTGTCTGACGACAGATCCATATGAACAGGATCCTTCCATCCTCTTCTCGGACTGGGACCTGTTCATATACGTTCTTGGCAGATGATCCAGAAGTGGTTTGCCATTGCCTTCTTCTGTGTGTGAATGGAGTAATTGTTGGGATGCCACGGAGGAAAACTCCGTGTTGCCTAGACCACGGCCTTGCCCAACACAAGTTATAAATTCGGGCACCGCCGGGAATCGAACCCGAGACCCCCCCAGGATTACAAGGCCAGCGTTCTAACCGCTAGACCACCGTGGCACACGCATTTGGGTTTACCGCAAAGAAATGAAGACCTTCATTCGAAGGAACCGCAAATAAAGAAATGAAAACTATATTTCTTGTACATATGTCAAGAATACATATTTACAAGAACATTCCCATTACCAACGTCTTAATATTTTAATAACTGATTACGCTTATGAACTGACTTTTGCAAGTTAACTGTGGTTCTGATACCAAATACATAAACATTTGTATTAGCGACGACATCATTGTAGTGCCAAATTTTTAAAAAAAAACGTTAATTGTTTACTTAGTAATTTTTAATGATATGAATAAAACTATTGGTCATATTAAAAATATCGATCCAACCCGGTATGGTCAAATACTTATCATCAACCCTAATTCAGTAGTGATTTTTATGTGTATGTACTTCACCTGAAGATGGCTGTACCAGGTCGAAACATGTATTGTAACTTCGAGTTAAGTTGGTTTTCCACCGTAGCCTAGCTTTGTCTCTGTGCGTTATACGACGCTGCTGGGCATACTTAATATTAATACATTTTGCTTTGCTAGTCTCAGAGGTTTAAACCGACTGATCTACGTTGTGTTATTGTTTCACGGGATGTGGTGTTACTGTTAA